TGAAATTATAGATTTATGTACCAAGTCAGTAAAATGATACTTTATCGAACGAGTCTGGGATTATGAGCAGAGCGTAAGAATTCATAAAAAAATATTAAAAAATTAAGTTTTATTAAATCAAACAGATATAAAAATAACAGCGAATACCTACAAAACTAATGTAAACAATATTTTGTTATTACGAAGCGGATGCGTCAGTGAAGTACCTCACGACGCCACGTGGTACGTAGTGCGCATGCTTTTCCACGCGGTGTCCGATGGATCGGCGAACTGGCAGTTGGGCGTTGGTCACGATGCGAGGCCAGCCTGTCACTCGTTTTCATTCATTGTTAATTAATTATTATTAAAACTGAATAAAGTGCATATTTTGGGACACCCGTCTAGTAAATTTTCCTACACAAATCTACTTATTATTTGTTATATTAACCGTAAACGCACACCCTGACGGTTTATGAAAATTAATTCCTAAATCCGAAGGCTTTTTAATTGGAAAATGTTTGAGAATTAAAATCTATGTTAAAAATTTGCAGATCTTTAGAAAAATTATAATTGTTAACAACTATGTTGTCAGTTTAACCTTCACCTAAAATTGTCTTTGCAATAATATGCCGCAGGTAAAATGCTTGATTTGTCCAGTCAAATAAAGTGTTTGTTTACATCCGAAAATTGCTAAGGTAGGTAATGCATGGGTTTATTGACGATTGGCAATAACAATAGCATATTATGATACGTGTTTTATCAGAAGCATTTTGTTGCACGCACGGGCTTAGGACATGGCGAGCGCAGCGAGGATATCATAAAGCAGTAATTAGTGCGATAAAATGCCTTATAACCGAGATATCATATAGTATTTTTTCTACTTTGCACTTTTTTAAACAAAAAAAAAATGTTTATTTTTCATTAACTAAATTAATGTAGAAGACGTTTTGCAATGTATGCCTCTAGAAATACGGACCATGACGGCAAATACGATGCACTACCTACTTTGATAAATTTTTAATGGACGCATATCTCACAAACGGTTGGTTTTAGGCATAGGTACTAAAACTTGTTAAAAGACAATTAAACAAAGAATCCAAAATTGGTAAAATACAGGGTGCACCAGAACTCGCGTCCCAGAGAAAAATGCCATATAATGTAAGATACCAGGAAGATGGAAAAAATGTTTAAAAAATTCTGTCTATAAAAATTTCGAAGTTATGAGAGTTTAAATTTTGCAATTTGACTCAATTTATTTCTGTTGGAAAAATACTTTTCCAAGTCTTTTTGCTGCAAGCTTTTAAAAGAAGAAACAAGGAAGCTGTAGCCTGAATTGTATCTCTGTTTAATGTTATTTGTGGCTTTTATTGGCAAAGTTTTTGTCTTTTTACTAAGTAATTGTAAAAAAACATATACAAGATCATCAGTACCATTAAATAGATACAAAAAATGTCAAATGTTAAAAGATAAATGTCAAAATTTTTTGACAGATAGAATTTTTTAAACATTTTTTTCATGTTCCTGGTATCTTATCTTACTTGAAATTTTTCTCTGGGGCGCGAGTTCTGGCGCACCCTGTATACAAAGTGTTTTCAAATTTTCTAGTTACGTCACTGATTTTGGCTTAACAATTAGCATATAAACTTAAAAAAAACTATGACTAATCGAACGGCCATATTGATGTGTCAAAAAAAGATAAATCAAGGCCAACTAACCGATCGTTTTGTTAGTCCCCTCGTATCATTTTATCCCCTGGGCGGTAATATACAGGTTACCGAGAATTCATTAAAATTGTTACGTGTAATATATTGCTAATTAGTATTTAATTGCTTCTGTAGCAGTTTTTCTTACTTCTGGGGGAGTACGCTACTCCATTTCAACAATTTTAATATCAGATTCACAATTATTTGAATTTTTTTTTTCTACATTTCTGAAATGACAAAAATCAAAAGATATTTAGATGGCCTACCACGTTTGAACCTTAACTTTGTTAGAATTTTATTTTATTCAAAATTTTGACTAAAAATAATATGATTGTGTATAAATAGCATACAAACCTCGGTGCCTATGGCATTATCCCTTGTGCTTTATACATGAGTACTCGGGATAATTACATATTTATCACCACATTTATAATGTGCTATTAAAGAATTCCTATTACCTAGAAATTAAGTGAAAACCTTAAATGACAAACAAAATAATTCTAAAAGCAAAGTGCATTATTGCAGTCGCTTTTTACTCAATTGCTCTACAATATGAATATTACATAGACATCGTAGAATCAACAATGTATGGGACGAGAGGTCACAAACGACGCTACAGTACCTGCATGAGGTTTTGCGTCTCGACGCCGAGTACGTTGCCCTTCCGACCACACACTCTAATCTTGTCTCCTTGCTGATTCAGTAAAAAATCATCCACTTTTTTAATTACACAGTCAAAAAGGAATAAACAAATAAAACAAATTAAACGAAAAAATCAACATGGTTTCATGAATAAATATGTATACAATCTTGCAGTAAAGACTTAGCATCACAAAACAGTTAAAATTCAAGTAAAAAAAGTATTTAAATTGTACTAAAAATTACATCAAAGAGAAGTCTATGATCTTGCTAAAGACCGAAGAGACTGTCAGTTGTCAATTTTAAGCACGGCCAATAATATACCGGGACATTCAATTCCCTACAACCCTAAAAAGATATTATAGATATTTCATCGGAAAGTATTCTTACAAGTAAATGAGTTATATAAAATTTAAAGCCAAGTTTAATATTTGAAAAACGTTAGATTTACAACAAATACAGTCAAGGGGTTGTAGAAAATAAAATTTTCTTGAAGAGAATGTTTAAGAGATTTTTATCTCCTAACCCTTTTTGAACGTTGAAATAGACTAAATGGAATTGCATTTTAATATCTGATACTAGCTGATGTGGTCAAATCCTATCGGATTTGATTAAAAGTTTCATTTTTATTTAGTAAAGTGTCTTTTAGATTTAAAAAAATTATGTTTGGGTCAGTTGGAGTAGTTTCAGGTCGGTTCAGGTCACTTTAGGCCACTTCGGGTTACTTCGGATTACTTTGGCTTGAAGTAAAAAGAAAGAGTGAAATGTTACTGACTTTTGATTTTCAAAAAAAGAAAAATTCTTAAGGAAATGTTTAAATTTAGTTGTAGAAATGCCAATCGAGACGTTTCAAAACATCGGGTTACAAAAGACAGTTGGGGAGACTAAGAAAGTGTCAGATGTACTGGATAAAAAATTTCTAGACTTGCAAAAAACATTTAAAAATCTCTTAAAGGAATGCTTAAATTTTAAAAAATGTCGTTCGAGACGTTTCAAAACATAGTGCTACAAAAGACAGTTGGGGACTAAGAAAGTGTCAGATGTACTGAAGACTTGCAAAAAAAAAATAAAAAATTTCTTAAAGAAATGCTTAAATTTAAAAAAAAAAACGTCCCTCACGCATTTTACTAAATTCATTCGCATCACTTGAAAAAATTAAAAAAATACACTTCACTTGTGGACAAATCCTGTTTGATTTGACTAAGAGTTTCATTTTTATTTAGCAAAGTGTCTTTTAGACT